CTCGAAACCTTACGAGGTGATATGCAATGCGAATGGTTATGCACTGGGAGGAGTTCTCATGCAAAAGGGACAGCCTATTGCATATGAGAGTTGAACTTTGAATTCCACAGAGCAACGCTATTCCACATATGAGCAAGAGTTACTCTCTATTGTTTATGCTTTGCGGATGTGGCAGTACTATCTTTATGGTGCAGTGTTCGTGGTGTTGACAGATCACAAACCACTTGTGTATCTTTTCACATAGAAGTTGTTGAACACTAGGCAAGCTCGTTGGATGGTCAAACTCTTCATTAGTAGTTCTCAACACACAGTTTACTGATATAAAACCACGAAGACTCACGTTTTTCTAGCTCTACTTCCGAGTCCTCTAAGCTGTTGTCCATTCTTCCTATTTTATGAAACATGATAAGTTTGGAAAAGTAAAAACTCCTACCAATTATATGGGATACTTGTCACTGAAAGACTTTACGGCAATTGTCTCCACTCAATGCAGCCTCTACTTGAAAACTTGGCTGAGGCCCTTCCTGTCAAAGGCCACAAATAAGAAACAAGAGACCTGTCCTTCATGTCTATCTCGTCACTCGGCATAGAGCCTTGAAACGTATGGCTCAAGGCTTGGGCAAACTCATGCATCTCTGGACGCTTTAGTAGGACTTCCATATGCAGTATTTGGGATGATACATAGAAAACAGGAGTATTGATGCCAGTCCGGACCTAGAGGATGGACAGATCACACAGAAGTCCGAGATCTGATGAAACAAAATCCAGACCTTCAAGCTACTTTTCATGGCTGGCTGAGATCGCCATGGCCTTGATGCTTGCTCCAGAATAAACTCTCTATGTAGATCAGCGCAGTTCGAAAATATGAGTTAAATGAAAGAGAAATCAAAGCAAGAAAAGAGAAGTGAACCTTACAGACAACAAGACAGCTCCCTTTGGAGCTTCTCCAGCATTTCATTGCCAGTCGTGGTAAGTGCTGCTTTCTCTTCCTCGTCATGACCACCTATGGAACAAATCCTCATGAGAGCTTGAAGCTGCACCCTCAGCTCCTTGGTGTGGCCTGATTCAAGAACCTCAGACAAGCACCATCACTTTTCCTCCTATTAGTTCTTCCTTGCCCGACTATGGAATCTCACATCCTGCCCTTGTACATGAGAGTTGTTCTGGCCTACAAGCTCGAAGGAAGTATGAGCAAGCGAGGGCACTGCCCACATATACAATGATTTGATGTTAAATCCTAATCCTCTCCAACCACTAGAAGGTTTATGAAAAATATTTTTTCAGTTTTTTTTTTTTATTTAATACAATTATATGACATTAGGGAGGATAAATACCATTATATTCAAGATAATCTTTACATTATGTAAATATCCCAAATTAGCAAATCTAGACACTTTCCATAAAAAGCAATTGAAACTAAAGAGTACTAACACAAGGTGTATGATAGCGAAAGTGTTTGGTAGACACTGTAAGCTATCACATAGTGATATTGAGGGACTAGACTTAATATGCAACAGTTCTTGTGCAAGATAAAGCAAAAGAGAACTAACAAGTTAGGCCAAGTATGTTTGGCTAAATAGTCATTTGGGAATTCCTTCCTTATGCTCTTTTGGCCAATTACAGATGCCAAGTCTAGTTTACTAACACTTGAACAAGAGGGAGTCATAAAGGGTTCAACAATATCAACCTCCTGCTATCGTGGTGGTAAGGAAAGAATATTCAAAAGGATTAGTCGATAGATAACTTTCGATACCTAAAGCCACATTTGCGACACTCTCCCCCCCTTAGGGAAGATTGACGTCCTCGTCGATGCATATTTTAGTGTAAACCACCAACAAGGAAACAACTTTAGAAACAATTCACAATGATCACACTATATGAGAAATGCACTAACTTAAATGAGTTAAAAGGCAACTTCTTTCTCTAACTCAAATGCTACCAACTCAGACACCTTCCAGCTGTCACTGACAAGGAAATGACCAACGGAGTTAGCCACCTTTGCTACTCTAGGTGTCACCTAGTTTACAAAAGTGTGATATGCCCCTGCTAACAAGGACATAGAGAGAGAAGCTAGAGGCCCCAACCCTCCTAAACAAAGAAACCAAACCCATCAGTAAAGTTTAGATAGACTACTGTAAACAAGTACTTAGAGTTGTTTATACAGTTATACCCTTTTTAAAGGAATAAGGAACATCGAGAGAGAGGCAGGTGATGTGACCAATTTACAGTAGCTACCCCATAATTAGAGATTTCACCATGCACACAAAGTGCTGAAGCTAGTCTGCCTATACTGGCCCAAACCCAAAGGTCAATAGATAGATAATATCAAAGTCAGAGACAATGATATCTTAGAGACTTAATTATCAATGAATAAATCTTAGATTAGAATACAAAAGTATTCCAAGTAAGTTATCAGTCGATAAACTAGTATGATAGTATAGGAACCATTAAGATCATCATAATTGGAAAACATAAGATTCACCATCCAACAAAATTCTAGAAAAAGTTCATAGTGATCACACTATGTGAGAAATGCACCAACTTAAACAAGTTAGCGTAACCTCTTTGTCTAATGCGGATGCACTACTAACTTAGACACCTTCCGGTTATCGCCAACAAGGAAATGACTAATAGAGTTAGCCACCCTTACTGCTCTATGTGTCACCCAGTTTACAAAAGTGTGATACACCCCTGCCTGTAGGGACATAGAGAGAGAAGCCAGAGGCCCCAACCCTCTTGAGCAAAGAAACCAAATCCGTCGGTAAAGTTTAGATAAACTACTGTAAACAAGTAGTTAGAGTTAATTATGCAGTTATACCCTTTTTAAGGAAATAAGGAACATCGAGAGAGAGGCAGGTGATGTGACCAATTTACAGTAGCTACCCCATAATTAGAGATTTCACCATGCACACGAAGTGCTGAAGCCAGTCTGCATATACTGGCCCAAACCCAAAGGTCAATAGATAGATAATATCAAGTGCTTCCTCCAGATCTTCTGGTACCACGCTCTCAATTTCCTTTTGTTGCTGACGGTCTGCAAGGCCTGGCCCTAGATCGGCTTGCTTCGTGCGATGGCCGCCTGTGGAAGATCGCCCCCAATTTGACAACCAGGTCCAGAAGGACGGCGTGGAGCTCCACCTCTGCGATTACGTCCACGACGCCATCTCCAGCGTCATCGCGCACCTCCACAAGGTCTGCTAGCGCTGGCGCTGGTGCTGGGAAGAGGACGAGCGCGTCCTCCGCATCTTGCTGCTCCTCTTGCTCATCCATAATAAACTATAGCCTAGAAACCCACCCACATTTTCTTGGCTTTGTTTTTCCTCATCTTTAGACTACACTATCTGAATCTTTGGAGCGCTGCCCGGAAGTGGAGGAGATCGAGCAAAGTTTTGACTCACTCCGGGTTTGTTTCTTTCTTTCTCGGAGGTAAGGAGGGAAGCGTTCTGCTGTGGTAGCAGCGGCAATCCGATCGACGACTGCTGGCGCTGCGACCCAAAATGGCACAACAATCGCAAACACTTGGCCGAATGCGCGAGGATTTGGCCTCGGGGGTAAGAACGGGGAAATCTACGTTGTGCGACGACAACCCAGTGAATCCCAAGCCCGGCACGCTGCGCTACGGCATGATCCGCTGTGGATCATCTTGAAGTTTTCTTGATGTGTTCTTGTGTCTTTGCTCGAACATTTCTGGCATCGTAACTGGTTTTTTTCATGCTTTGGATGCTCCTGGGACACACAACGACGATTACACTGCAGACCGGGCAATGCAAGTGACTGTAGCTTACAATCACTTTAAACAGGGTTAGTCGAAAGAATGTCGAGGTCAGCCTCATACTTTTGCTTTCTTTGCACGGGTTTGGCTTTTCTAAACTGGATTTCGTTTTCTTCTTTTGCTTTGGTAGATGCCGACACGGATACTTCCACGTTGTCAACCATGACTACACAAATGCTAATACCATAAAACTACAACTAAATGAATGGAAGATGCACGCCATTGGAAGCAGCCCAAATCCCACAATTAACACCGAAGGCAATACATTCTTTGCAAAAACTCGAAAGAGGTAAAGCTTTTTTGAACTTTTTCTTTGTATAGGCTACAAAACTGATGTTTGATCATAAAGCGAGAGTACACTGAGAAATCAATCTGGAAGAGCTGGCACGGGAGATCCGAGAAGAACTTGTTCCTGAATGGAGCGTACTTCATCACGTCTGGAGAGCTGGATCGGTCTATGGCAAAACCTCGAGCCTCGCTGCCAAGCCCACGGCCTACATTGGTGAGTTAACTCTCTCGACAGGAGCAATTCCCTGTGGAGTAGGATTTCCATGCTGACTTGAGGATGATCATCGCCATCGCCAGTCGTCATCAGCAGCTGTACAACATTACTCCTATAGCTTGTCGATCGGTCTCGCCCTCTTAATTATCCATGCGGACTATGATGTTTTTAAGGTTTCTGGATGGAATAAGTGAGTGTGTTCCATCGCTAGAAGGATGGTTAGATGATGGAGAGAGATTGGAGCTCCATCTCCATCTTCATAGAAGAAAGAAGAAGGAAAGTTTGGCAACCTCGGCCAGGAACGGAAGAGTTCTCTGGCCTTGTTCTTTGTTTCGTGCTTGCCACAGATTCGAGCGGCGCTCCTTCTGGATCATGACGCCCTGGTTGTCGAATTGGGGGCGATCTTCCACAGCACGACAACAGTGCCGATCCAGGCGGTGTGAGCGCGCCAGGTCTTGCACGCCAGCGATCAAACCCTACATTTCTGTTCAAACAATTAGGGCTTTGGCGCCAAACGGATTATAGGTCTTAATGACTCGATATAAAAAGTATTATAATAAAAAAAACGTTTTCTCTTTACGAACGTGCGCGGGATTCATTGTACATACAAAGACGGCTTCCACGCGGCAATTCCTACGGGAAACTTTCCGCGTAAAACGAGTGGAAAGCATTCCATCCGACTGCTGCTCGGATATAAATTCATGACGTCTCCCCAGTCAGCAGCAGGGCCCTCTTCATTCCGTATCTAGTGTCTCAAGCTTGTCAAAGCTGCGAATTTCACAACTGTGATCTGCAAATTCGTAGACAATCAAGATGGCTTGGAAGGTGAGCATTGCGTCTCTGATTTCGTTGAGCCTTGTTTGATCTCGAGCTCTGTGCTGCAGGTTGTCTTGAAAGTGGACTCTTGCAACAAATGCAAGGACAGGATGATGTCTCAGATCTATCACGGCGTCTCCGGTGAGTGTAGATTTCCGCAAATTCTCCCAAATTTTGATCGCTGATCAAGAGATCTTCGTGCTCTTGCAGGTGTGAAGAAAGTGGAGGTTAACGATCCCCTTTACACCGTCACGGGTGATTTCAAGGTGGACGACATCCTCAAGGCCACCAAGAAGAAACACAAGTGTATTTCTGTGGAATCCGTCCAGGAGATCAAGGTGGAAAAGCCCAAGCCAAAGGACGATTGCTGCTGCTGCCGCTGCTCTTGCTGCTGCTGCTAGAATTCGTGACTGATTACTGATCATAAAGAGGTTTTGTTGTGGATGAGATGATCAATCTCTCCTCTCATGTAAGTTCTAATCAAATCGAACGATGCTTTATTTCGTTAAAGTGGAATTTTTCATTATCCCACTTATGGTGTGTGGCCACATGCCATTTTTATAACAACAATAAAAAATTGAAGTTTTAGCTTTATAATTTATAAATTAAAAACTTTTCATATGATTTTGTGTTATAATATTGTGAAATATAAAAAATAAATTAAAAAACTGATAGAAATATTAATAAATATTAATTAAGTACTAGGAAATGGCATGTGGACACATGCTAATTAATGTCCCACTTTACTGAATAAGTTCCACTTTAACGAAATAAAGCATAACGAGGGGTTTCGGTTTCTTTCACCAAGTTTTTGTTGCAATAGGATTGAGATTGTCAATCTAACATCCAGAGCACGCGAGTGCTATGTTGAAATGGTCCTTCCCATCTTTGCAGGAGCGGAAATGTTTAAATTTCAAGGATGTTGACACATAGACTTAATTATCAATGAATAAATCTTAGATTAGAACACAAAAGTATTCCAAGTAAGTTATCAGTAGATAAACTAGTATGATAGTATAGAAACCATTAAGATCATCATAATTGGGAAATATAAGATTCACCATCCAACAAAATTCAATAGCAAGTATACCATAAAAAATACTTAATGATAAAACTTAACTATCAAAGATTGTAGATAGTATGCCAAACAACTTATGAAAGACAACTACAAGAATACAAAGTATTATTGACTAGCAAGCAAAATGCTTGCGAATATATCACCCGAAGGAAATAACATATAATTTATCAGAACCAATTGTAGTAATAATCAACAAAATAGAATGAATGTTGCAAAGCAATCAAACAATCATTTATGCCAATGATCGCATTAATTAATTTGAATATGTCATAGTCAATAATACTAGGGAACCAAAGTTTCTCAAATAAGCATCAGCAATATCCTATTGATATCTCAAACCCAAGAGACCAATCTAAGGCAAACCACAAAAAACATATAGTATTATGAAAAGCCATAATTTATCAAAGAGAACAACTAAAAATTATGAAAAATCATTAATAATCCTATTAATAAAAGATATAGAATCATCATTGAAAAAAGAATTCACTATCCCAAAGAACAACAAATTATTCTATATCAACAATAATCAAGCAAAACCTTTTGACAAGAATAATCATCTATCCTAAATGATAATTAATCATCACCAATGATTGCTAGATGCAAATACTAATTTCAACATCAAAGCTAATGAGCCAAAATGCCTTCCCCAACAACTTTTAATAAATGGAACAATGAGCATAAAACTCAAAGAACTAAAAGCTTGAAGAAGCCTATAGCCAAGTTATGCCTAGTAATGATTATGAGTCTCGCATAAACTAACTTTAATGCTAAAGAAGAAATCACAGTACAACCCACAATATCCTTCTCAACACATCCATAAGCTAAACTTTATAATGCTTAAGCTAATGAAAAACATTTCTGCATTAATCCAAAAGCCAAGCACAATAAAGCTATGCTCAACAAGTGACACCAAAAGATCCTCTATGAATCTATTTTCTATAGCATGACATAACTCACTTCATAACAAACACAAGAAGAATCATCGATGATCAATATAGCAAAAGCTCAACCCCTACTAAATAATTTCGTTTAGAATATAACTAACTCAACTTGCCACTTAGCTTGTTTGAACGTTATTTCAGTTGCTAACTAATAAATGCATAAATGTTAATAACACAAAGTTACAACCACATCATTAACACTATCTACATTGAGATTAATGAAACTCAATATCAATCCTACGGAGAAACATCTCATTTCACTTGAATCTCAATAATAATAATGTCAATAATAAAGCATCACTTCAATGCCATCAACACCATAACAAAGCAAGAAGAAAGTAAAAAGTGAATCACCAGTTAAAACTCTCTAGCAACCGAGCTAACCAAAGTCGAAAATACATTAGTTAATCCAACATCAGAGACTAAACATAACCAAATGATATCAACAGAGGTAGAGTCGAGACACTAACAAAGAAAAACCATGTAAACTAATGATACAATCCTTTGTAACACTATCTAGTAAAGTAAGTTTATCACTGCTAAATCATCATCAAGGGAAGCAAGTGTTAGTAGTCCTCAATGAAGTTTACAAGCAACCACTAGTCACAAAACAACTAATAATCACTTTTCAACTTGCCTTTACAAGACCCAAACACTAAACTCATGTCACGTCATCAAGTTATATATTTGTCTAACAAGAAGGTAACACCTCATGTACAAGGACAAACATGAACTAAATGACCACTCGAATACAACTCAGCTACAATAAACTCACTAATGCGTATAGCCAATAGCTCTAGGTATGCCATGAAGAGGCTAGCTATGCATGATTAACACTCAGTCAAAACTAAAGTGTAGACCATGAGATGGACTTATATTGGTACACAACCTCTTGATAGATAAAGCTATAGTATAGATACTAACACCTTAAACTCAAATAACTAAGTTGGACATCACTATCCTCAGCCAAGGCACAAGGCTACCAAGACCAAGTCAGGGTTAGTGAGAGTTCACTACTCTCATAGAGTCTAATGTAATAGAAGTATAAACAACCATGTAAGCAACCATTCTACTTTAGTCACTTAACCACACCTCCGACCACTTGTCGGAGTCTCACTCACAACCTTCATAAGTCTTATTCCGGACTTGGGCTTGTTAGCCCAGAGAATGGCATCCCTGCCACTCAAACTTTGCACTTGGCCCAAGTGCTCCACATGTCGGATCCTATGATCGACACCTCAAGGTACCACCGACATATCAACCTATTACGCTAAGGCCATTCCCCTTCACCTTGGCCACACCGGTGGTCCAACACCACCTGCATCACAGTCCCATCTCTCAAAGACTGGGCTATCCATCCATGAGTGATCATCCCAGATCTACTTCTTAGCATCTTTAGGATGCCCGCAAGCATGGGGAATAGCCTTTCCCAATATCCTTTTTCTAGTCCCCACCAAATCCCTTTTTATCCATGGCCATGTTTGCCAACACTACCACTGGATCAAGGCCCATAGGCCCGATCACTAAGTCCCACGGTCCTCTGGGACTTCCTCCTCACATGACAATATCCTTGGTCTCTACACTAGAGGACTGCTCCTCTTCCTTTTCACAGTCTGGGACTTTGGAACAACATTTCGGAATACCATGGCTTTATGCGAGCCTCATGGGTACTCTCCCTGCCTTTTGCCTTTGGGTGCTCTAGCTATGGGCTTAGAGCGAGGTTCTATTGAGCCATGCCAGGTATCCAAGTAGATAGTGCCACCCACACTTGGACTGGGAGCATTGACCATTCGATCTTTTGGGGGAACTAGAGCCGGCTTTTGAACACTTCACCAAGCTACCTTGCTTGTCAGTCAATATTCACTTCCTAGTGGTCATCCCATCACCCAACAGCTGGGTATGGCCTTCCTAGGCCAAACTAGCCTTTCCTAGCCAAACTAGCTCCACTGGGCTCCAATCCCACACTCTCCCCCCCCCCCCTCTGGGGGGACGATTGCTTTGGGCTTTCACCCAATAGTCTATATTAGTATTCAGACTCGGACTCGAACTCAAAATCAAACTCTGACTTGGTCTTGGTCTCGGTCCCGGTTTCGGACTCGGACTCGGTCTTGGTCTCGGTCTCAGTCTTGGTTCCATCTCGGACTCCAACTCCATCTCAGGTCCATCTCGAACTCCATCTCGGATACATCTCAGATCCATCTCGGACTCCATCTCAGGTCCATCTCAGACTCCATCTCAGACTCCATCTCAGACTCCATCTTGGGTCCATCTTAGAATCCATCTCGGATCCATCTTGGACTCCATCTCGAACTCCATCTCGGGTCCATCTTGGGTCCATCTCGAACTCCATCTCGGGTCCATCTCGGACTCCATCTCGGGTCCATCTCGGGTCCATCTCGAACTCCATCTCGGGTCCATCTCGGGTCCATATCAGACTCCATCTCGAGTCCATCTCAGGTCCATCTTGGACTCCATCTCAGATCCATTTTGGGTCCATCTCGGACTCCATCTCAGGTCCATCTCGGACTCTATCTCGGATCCATCTCAGGTCCATCTCAAACTTCATCTCGGGTCCATTTCGGACTCCATCTCGGACCCATCTCGGACTCCATCTCGGGTCCATCTCGGACTCCATCTCGGATCCATCTCAGGTCCATCTTAAACTTCATCTCGAGTCCATCTCGGACTCCATCTCGGACTCCATCTCAAGTCCATCTCAGACTCACTTGTTGCTCGCTTCATGCTCGTTCCTTGAGCCCTTCGTTGGGAGTTCCACTCCCGCTCTCAACTTCTCGAGTCAAAGCTTTTAGTCCAAATGTGTTATGCTCATTTGGCTCTTACCTCCACCACTACCACGTGGCACCCTTTCAACTCCCCTTTGGGGCCTAAGGATTTTGTGTCTCACAAGAAGGTTCAACTTACCAAGTATATATCAATATAGAAAAAAGGCACAAGGGTCATCTTTTTTAGAAAAGCATAACAGCCACTTTTCTACACAAACTCGAGACTCTATCCAACTCAATTGCCTTAGCCCTAAAAGTCAACATCCCTTTTGGGGCCACATGATACAAACTACATACTAAAGTTTAAACTAACTAAAGTTAACTCCAATCCCTTTACTAGTTTGCAATAGCTTATAAAAACAAAATGGTTTTTGAGAAAAATGATCAATATATTAGCCATTGGAAAAGTTTTAAAAAATTTATGGAAAATTTTCCATCCAAGAGA